AAAAATTGTCTTCCAATGAGGCTTTGGGGTGACAAAAATTGTCTTCCAATGAGGATTGGGGGTGACAAAAATTGTCTTCCAATGAGGCTTGGGGTGACAAAAATTGTCTTCCAATGAGGATTGGGGTGACAAAAATTATCTTCCAATGAGGATTGGGGTGACAAAAATTGTCTTCCAATGAGGGTTGGGGTGACAAAATTGTCTTCCAATGAGGATTGGGGTGACAAAAATTGTCTTCCAATGAGGATTGGGGTGACAAAAATTGTCTTCCAATGAGGCTTGGGGTGACAAAAATTGTCTTCCAATGAGGATTGGGGTGACAAAAATTGTCTTCCAATGAGGATTGGGGTGACAAAAATTGTCTTCCAATGAGGATTGGGGTGACAAAAATTGTCTTCCAATGAGGATTGGGGTGACAAAAATTGTCTTCCAATGAGATTGGGGTGACAAAAATATCTTCCAATGAGGATTGGGGTGACAAAAATTATCTTCAATGAGGATTGGGGTGACAAAAATTATCTTCCAATGAGGATTGGGGTGACAAAAATTATCTTCCAATGAGGCTTGGGGTGACAAAAATTATCTTCCAATGAGGCTTGGGGTGACAAAAATTATCTTCCAATGAGGATTGGGGTGACAAAAATTATTTCCATGAGGCTTGGGGTGACAAAAAAATTTTCTTCCAATGAGGCTTGGGGTGACAAAAATTGTCTTGGAATGAGGCTTGGGGTGACAAAAATTATCTTCCAATGAGGCTTGGGGTGACAAAAATTATCTTCCAATGAGGATTGGGGTGACAAAAATTATCTTCCAATGAGGCTTGGGGTGACAAAAATTATCTTCCAATGAGGACTGGGGTGACAAAAATTGTCTTGGAATGAGGCTTGGGGTGACAAAAATTGTCTTGGAATGAGGATTGGGGTGACAAAAATTGTCTTCCAATGAGGCTTGGGGTGACAAAAATTGTCTTGGAATGAGGCTTGGGGTGACAAAAATTGTCTTCCAATGAGGCTTGGGGTGACAAAAATTGTCTTCCAATGAGGCTTGGGGTGACAAAAATTGTATTCCAATGAGGATTGGGGTGACAAAAATTGTCTTCCAATGAGGATTGGGGTGACAAAAATTGTCTTGGAATGAGGATTGGGGTGACAAAAATTATCTTCCAATGAGGCTTGGGGTGACAAAAATTGTCTTGGAATGAGGCTTGGGGTGACAAAAATTATCTTCCAATGAGGCTTGGGGTGACAAAAATTATCTTCCAATGAGATTGGGTGACAAAAATTATCTTCCAATGAGGCTTGGTGGTGACAAAAATTATCTTCCAATGAGGCTTGGGTGACAAAAATATCTTCCAATGAGGTTGGGGGGACAAAAATTATCTTCCAATGAGGCTTGGGGTGACAAAAATTATCTTCCAATGAGGCTTGGGGTGACAAAAATTGTCTTGGAATGAGGCTTGGGGTGACAAAAATTATCTTCCAATGAGGCTTGGGGTGACAAAAATTATCTTCCAATGAGGATTGGGGTGACAAAAATTATCTTCCAATGAGGCTTGGGGTGACAAAAATTATTTCCAATGAGGATTGGGGTGACAAAAATTATCTTCCAATGAGGCTTGGGGCGGACAAAAATTGTCTTCCAATGAGCTTGGGGTGACAAAAATTTCTTCCAATGAGGATTGGGGTGACAAAAATATCTTCCAATGAGGCTTGGGTGACAAAATTATCTTCCAATGAGGCTTGGGGTGACAAAAATTTCTTCCAATGAGGCTTGGGGGGACAAAAATTGTCTTGGAATGAGGATTGGGTGACAAAAATTTATCTTCCAATGAGGCTTGGGGTGACAAAAATTGTCTTGGAATGAGGCTTGGGGTGACAAAAATTGTCTTCCAATGAGGCTTGGGGTGACAAAAATTGTCTTCCAATGAGGATTGGGGTGACAAAAATTGTCTTCCAATGAGGATTAGGGTGACAAAAATTGTCTTGGAATGAGGCTTGGGGTGACAAAAATTGTCTTCCAATGAGGCTTGGGGTGACAAAAATTGTCTTCCAATGAGGATTGGGGTGACAAAAATTGTCTTGGAATGAGGCTTGGGGTGACAAAAATTGTCTTCCAATGAGGATTGGGGTGACAAAAATTGTCTTCCAATAAGGCTTGGGGTGACAAAATACTGTAAACACAAGATAATTGTGACGTGTAAACACAAGGATTCACTGATAAAGAAAAATGTCACTGAGAAATCACTGAAAAATTGTCTCAACACTGGCGAATGTCTCTATAAGAATGTTATTTATTATCACTGGAGTGATGTTAGTGGAGAACTGAGGGTGATGGAGAGTGGAGGAAGGTGGTGGTGGAGTCTCGTGGCTGATGGAGACTCTACTCGGCGATTTCTCGAAGTTTTTGTTCTTAAACTCGATGAACCCACACAGCAAGGCTTTTCTCGTTGGCGCACAGGTACGATGAAGCAATCTTGTGGCTTGACCCGCTATGTGAGCCGTAAAATAAGGTGCTAGGACCTGTTATAAGGGTAAAAAAAAACAGTGGTAGTGGAAGGTGGTTGAGGCAGGGCACTGAAACACTGCCTGGTGTGGCTAGGCCTACTGGATAAGCGGTTTAACCCACGTGCTCTGGGTACACCTGCACTAGGCACGAGAATATTCTAAGCCAGGCTGGCTTAAAAACCCACAAAATACCACAACACCACAGGGATAGTACAAGCACTCAGGATGGCTTGGAACTTAGAGCACAAGCGATGGTGAAGGCTGGAACTCACATGGCTTGATTGAGTACCGGGTTAAGTCACCTAGGTTAGTTGCTGGCTTGCTTGGCTTAACCCTTCACACAGACTGGCTTGAGAACTTGTAACGATGAGCACAGCAGGGGTGGAAAGCTGGCTTAACAGGCAAGGCTGGTGCTTAAGACAGGCTGGATGGTGCAAGGTTTGACTCCCCCCCCCACAGACTGGCTTGGTGGCTTGGTTTAATTTGCAAACCCAGGTCAACCCCTCGGAAGTAATGCAAATAAGCAGATAAACACTAAGACACAAAGACTGACCAGAAAGCAGGAAGCAAACAGGTTGGTGAACGCTTGCTCCGGTAGCTGGCTGCTAGGATGGCCTGCTGGCGACACAAAATGTCTGTCGGCTGGTAGAAGTTAATCTCCGTACATCAGTGTAAATATCAAATTTACGATCCCACTGCTGCCACCATTTGTTGAGAGGGTTCGTGGAGATGTGATGGTTGGAGTAAAACACACGTCGTTGGGTGGTAACACTTAATAGCAGAGTGTGAAAGGGGGAGGCTCAGCCTACCTGTTGATGCCTGGTAGGTCTACGGTGAACTGAGACTGGAGCATCGAGTCACACGCACACGTGCAGCATCACGTGATGTCACGCATGCTAGTCACTGAGCCAACTGACCAGGGAGCCTAAATGCATACATGGATGATACGATCTACAATATACTACACAAGTATATGTATTGGGGAATTCAGTAGCTATACTGACACCCTTGTTGCTGTATCCCACTGTTGTTGTGTCCTTTGTTGCAGTGTACCCTTGTTGTTGTGTCCTCTTGTTGTTGTGTCCCCTTGTTGTTGTGTCCTCTTGTTGCTGTGTCCCCTTGTTTCTGTGTCCCCTTGTTGTTGTGTCCTTTGTTGCAGTGTCCCCTTGTTGTTGTGTCCTCTTGTTGTTGTGTCCCCTTGTTGTTGTGTCCTCTTGTTGCTGTGTCCCCTTATTTCTGTGTCCCCTTGTTGCTGTGTCCCTTTGTTGATGTGTCCCCTTGTTGCTGTGTCCCCTTTTTGCTGTGTCTCTTTGTTGCTGTGTCCCCTTTTTGCTGTGTCTCTTTGTTGCTGTGTCTCCTTCTTGCTGTGTCTCCTTCTTGCTGTGTCCCCTTATTGCTGTGTTTCCTTGTTGCTGTGTCCCCTTGTTGCTGTGTCCCCTTGTTGTTGTGTCCCCTTGTTGCTGTGTCTAGTTGTTGCTGTGTCCCCTTGTTGCTGTGTCCCCTTGTTGTTGTGTCTCCTTGTTGCTGTGTCTCCTTGTTGCTGTGTCCCCTTGTTGTTGTGTCCCCTTAGTGTTGTGTCCTCTTGTTGCTGTGTCCCCTTGTTGCTGTGTCCCCTTGTTGCTGTGTCCCCTTGTTTCTGTGTCCCCTTGTTTCTGTGTCCCCTTGTTGCTGTGTCCCCTTGTTGCTGTGTCCATTTGTTGCTGTGTCCCCTTGTTTCTGTGTTCCCTTGTTGCTGTGTCCCCTTGTTGCTGTGTCCCCTTGTTGCTGTGTCCCCTTGTTGCTGTGTCCCTTTGTTGCTGTGTCCCCTTGTTGTCCCCTTGTTGCTGTGTCCCCTTGTTGCTGTGTCCTCTTGTTGCTGTGTCACCTTGTTGCTGTGTCCCCTTGTTGCTGTGTCTCCTTGTTGTTGTGTCCTCTTGTTGCTGTGTCACCTTGTTGCTGTGTCACCTTGTTTCTGTGTTCCCTTGTTGCTGTGTTCCCTTGTTGCTGTGTCCCCTTGTTGCTGTGTCCCCTTGTTGTTGTGTCCCCTTCTTACTGTGTCACCTTGTTGCTGTGTCTCCTTGTCGCTGTGTCCCATTGCTGCTGTGCCCCTTGTTCTTGTGTCCCCTTGTTGCTGTGTCCCCTAGTTGCTGTGCCCTCTTGTTGCTGTGTCTCCTTGTTGCTGTGTCCCGTTGTTGCTGTGTCCCCTTATTGCTGTGTCCCCTTGTTGCTGTGTCCCCGTTGCTGTGTCCCCTTGCTGCTGTGTCCCCTTGTTGCTGTGTCCCCTTGTTGCTGTGTCCCCTTGTTGCTGTGTCCCCTTGTTGCTGTGCCCCCTTTTTGCTGTGTCCCCTTATTGCTGTGCCCCCTTGTTGTTGTGTCTCCTTGTTGTTGTGTCTGATACACCTACACACTTGACTAACATTCTCTTCCAGTGGTGAATGTCTGATACGAATCAAAAAAGTCTTCCAGAAGTGTTCAAACCCATTCCAGGAATCAGGACGCCTGCACAAAAACTCAAAATTCAACATTCAATATTTATTCCCACATGTTGCATTGTTTATACAGGAAAGGTTTAGAGAAGGACCTGATAAACAAGTATTTAAAAATCCATTTAGTCTAGGGACTCAAGTCGAAATAATCGACTTAAACTGAGTGAGGATAAACTAACTGGGACAGTTACTGGGGCTGTGGGAAGGCGTCAGCTCGGCCGCAGTCAGGTGAAAATGAACACAGATGAGGTAGAATGCCATTGTTTGTTGACAAGGTTTCGCCCAGACACTGGGGTTTATCAAGTCACAAACAGATCTACCTGGGCGAAACATACGTGAGTGTATGCAGTGTGGGGACGAACCTGTATGTGACCAGGGACACAGACGGTGCCGCTGACAGGGCCGCTGGTGCCGCTGACAGGGACACAGATGGTGCCGCTGACAGGGCCGCTGGTGCCGCTGACAGGGACACAGATGGTGCCGCTGACAGGGCCGCTGGTGCCGCTGACAGGGACACAAATGGTGCCGCTGACAGGGCCGCTGGTGCCGCTGACAGGGCCGCTGGTGCCGCTGACAGGGACAAAAATGGTGCCGCTGACAGGGCCGCTGATGCCGCTGACAGGGACACAGCTGGTGCAACATTTCGAAATTTTTGCTGTGGAAACGTTTCGCCAGCCAGTGGCTTCTCCAGTCCAATACAGAGAAGAACGAAGGAAAATGAGGAGTGTGAGGCAATCAGTCCCTCAGCCTTGAGTCGATGTGTTCAGTCCATCAATCTCGAGACTGATAGACTGAGGTACTGATCACCTCATCTACAGTCTTCCCATTATGTCCTTGAATTTGTACTGATGAAGCCGCTGGATGGGCGAAACATCTACAAGAAAGACATCCAGATGTTGTACATGTGTGTAATTCTATCGTATCATTAATAATGGCTATTTTCTTCAAGCTTTTGTTAGCCTAGAACTGTGTTTTAATTACAATATATACGAAAGCAATTACGTAATAATACTAATTATTATAGTCTTTATTTTTAAAATGGTAAGCCTGGGAAAGGTCTCAGTCAGATGACCAAGAACTCCAGCTGCGGGTCATTATGTGACTAAGGAAACTCTTGTCCTGCTTCCCGTGGAATCTTACCTAACCTATCCTAACCTAACCTAACCTAAATTAACCTAACCTAACCTAACCTATCCTAACCTAACCTAACCTAACCTAACCTATCCTAACCTAACCTAACCTAACCTAACCTAACCTAACCTAACCTAACCTAACCTAACCTAACCTATCCTAACCTAACCTAACCTAACCTAACCTAACCTAACATAGCCTATCCTAACCTAACCTATCCTAACCTAACCTATCCTAACCTAACCTAACTTAATCTAACCTAACCTAACATAACATAACATAACATAACATAATATAACATAACATAACATAACATAACATAACATAACATAACATAACATAACATAACCTAACCTAATCTAACCTAACCTAACCTAACCTAACATAATATAACCTAACCTAACATAACCTAACATAACCTAACATAACCTAACCTAACCTAACCTAACATAACCTAACCTAACATAACCTAACCTAACCTAACCTAACATAACCTAACCTAACATAACCTAACCTAACATAACCTAACCTAACCTAACCTAACATAATCGTGGAGAAACTATTGAAGAGTCATTAAAACCAGGAACTGTCTTCTTGAAGCTCTTAGAGTGGAAGACAAGACGATAACATTCCTCTAGATAACGTCGAAGTCTTGTGAGTAACGATAACATCCCTCTAGATAACGTCGAAGTCTTGTGAGTAACGATAACATCCCTCTAGATAACGTCGAAGTCTTGTGAGTAACGATAACATCCCTCTAGATAACGTCGAAGTCTTGTGAGTAACGATAACATCCCTCTAGATAACGTCGAAGTCTTGTGAGTAACGATAACATCCCTCTAGATAACGTCGAAGTCTTGTTAGTAACGATAACATCCCTCTAGATAACGTCGAAGTCTTGTTAGTAACGATAACATCCCTCTAGATAACGTCGAAGTCATGTTAGTAACGATAACATCCCTCTAGATAACGTGAAAGTCCCGTAAGTAGCTACTGGCTCTCTGAATCATTATGGTGAGATCAGAGACGTGCCTCTTGATCTGATCCTCTCTCATCAGACGGTCCCTGCCACTCAGGTCCTCCATTCCGTACAGGAGATCAGTAATTCCGGGGAAGCAGGAGGTCGAGTAGTAGTCGAACTGACTCGGGGCAAACACTGCATGCCTGAAATAAGAGATTTTTGTGCTGTTATGGATTGTTTTAGGCTTTTTTTTTCTAGATACGCAAATTAAGTGTCAACACGACTGCTTGTTGTTGGGCGGATTTAAAGTGGTGCAGTCAATATAAGTGGTAAGGTGCTGATTTAAGTGGACCTTTAAGCAGGGAAACTTATAGAAAACTGAGGGATGTTTAAGGTATACCTGTAGAATACTGGAGGATGTTTAAGGCATACCTGTAGAAAACTGGGTTTATGTAGCAGTGAGTAGGTACCTGGGTGTTTGTCACCTTGCACCTCCTGTCACTGTTCACCTACCAGTAAGTAGGTACCTCTGTGTTAGTCACCTTGCACCTGCTGTCACTGTTCACCTAGTAGTAATTAGGTACCTGGGTGTTAGTGGACTGGTGTGGGTGGCAACCTGGGGACAAATTTGACCTATGTTGTGGGAAATGCTGTACATAACAAGGGACTTTCTATATAGTAGTATGTCATAAGTGTCAGCTATGGTCTGTATAAGTTGTATCATGTACTGGTAGAAATAAACATTATTATTGTTATTATTATTAGTGGTAGTAGCAGTAGTAGTAGTAGCAGTAGTAGTAGTGGCAGTAGTAGTAGTAGTTGTAGTAGTACCTGACGTTTGGTCGACCAGGTAGACCTATTGGCAGAATGAAGACTTGTTCAATCTTCATCATCTGGTCATTGATGGCTCGGATGCTGACTGGACTGTATGAGACAGATGAAAGTTACATTATTTGTATGGTCATCTCTGGTAACATGAAAGAGGAGGAGCACTGCAGGAAGCCTACTGGCTCATACTAAGCAGGTCCATCTCAAACCCAAACCCACTTTATTAAGTGTTAAGTTAGCAGCAGTAAAAAAAATAGTGGAATATATTAGCTCTCTAACTATCATGAAGAAATTTAATAGCTACATACTGCAGCCAAATTTTTTTTTAAGCTATTTACTAACTCCAGAAATAACAAAATGGAACAATACCGTGATTGGAACAATACATAAATAACCCGCACGTAGGAGAGAGGAGCTGACCACGACGTTTCGGTCCAACTTGGACCATTTACAAAGTCACACTGACAGAAAGGAGAGAAGGAGGGAGTATATATAGGCCAGCAGACAGGGACGGGACAAGCGGGGTACAGTGGACCCTCGGTTTTCGGCCTTTTCGGATTTAGGCCGACCTTCTGGAACTGATTACCGCCGATAACCGAGGGTCCACTGTAGTAGGAAAGGAAGTAGAGAGGCAGTGGTAGTAGTAGTAATAGTAGTAGTAGTAGTAGTAGTAGTAGTAGTAGTAGTAGTAGTAGCAGTAGTAGTGGTAGTGGAGTCAGTCTTAGGCTAAGATGATCCAAGTCCGAGAGAGAGACGTCATGGTCAGCACCCCTTTGCTATGTGTGGGTTGTGTGCTCACTCCAGGTTCTTCAGCCTCTCCTCCTCCAGGTGCCTCACGAAGGTGGTCACAGCGTCAGTAAAGTTTTCCAGAGATTCTTCCAGGACACCTGGAAAACGGACATTAATATAGTATATGCAATAAAGGGAAATAAAATTATTGAACAATGGGTCTGAAAATTTGTACTGATTGTTTGGAACTGTGATTGTTTGGAACTGTGATTGTTTGGAACTGTGATTGTTTGGAACTGTGATTGTTTGGAACTGATTGTTTGAAACTGATTGTTTGGAACTGTGATTGTTTGGAACTGTGATTGTTTGGAACTGTGATTGTTTGGAACTGATTGTTTGAAACTGATTGTTTGGAACTGTGATTGTTTGGAACTGTGATTGTTTGGAACTGTGATTGTTTGAAACTGTGATTGTTTGGAACTGTGATTGTTTGGAACTGTGATTGTTTGGAACTGTGATTGTTTGGAACTGTGATTGTTTGGAATTGTGATTGTTTGGAACTGTGATTGTTTGAAACTGTGATTGTTTGGAACTGTGATTGTTTGGAACTGTGATTGTTTGGAACTGTGATTGTTTGGAACTGTGATTGTTTGGAACTGTGATTGTTTGGAACTGTGATTGTTTGGAACTGTGATTGTTTGGAACTGTGATTGTTTGGAACTGTGATTGTTTGGAACTGTGATTGTTTGAAACTGTGATTGTTTGGAACTGTGATTGTTTGGAACTGTGATTGTTTGGAACTGTGATTGTTGGAACTGTGATTGTTTGGAATTGTGATTGTTTGGAACTGTGATTGTTTGGAACTGTGATTGTTTGGAACTGTGATTGTTTGGAACTGTGATTGTTTGGAACTGTGATTGTTTGTAATTGTGATTGTTTGGAACTGTGATTGTTTGGAACTGTGATTGTTTGGAACTGTGATTGTTTGGAACTGTGATTGTTTGAAACTGTGATTGTTTGAAACTGTGATTGTTTGGAACTGTGATTGTTTGGAACTGTGATTGTTTGGAACTGTGATTGTTTGGAACTGTGATTGTTTGGAATTGTGATTGTTTGGAACTGTGATTGTTTGGAACTGTGATTGTTTGGAACTGTGATTGTTTGGAACTGTGATTGTTTGAAACTGTGATTGTTTGAAACTGTGATTGTTTGGAACTGTGATTGTTTGGAACTGAATACGTCTCACGGACGGGTGGAGTTTGAACTCATGGCAAGTAAGTCTTAAAACGTACAGATCAGTGAGTTTTAGAATTCACTAGTCGTGAGTTCGAACCCCCATCAGTTCCCTGATTTGTTTTCAGTCGTGTTAATGTTTGTTGAATTAAATACATCATTGCCGAACACATTTCATTCTTCTTGCTAGTAAGCTGCTCGGAGTTAGTTTTGAGAGGACCTATCTCCCAGCGAGGCAGTGTGTCCCGAAGAAAAACACTTTCACCATCATTCACACTATCACTGTCTTGCCAGAGGCGCAGATATGACAGTTTAGATGTCACTTTAAACAGCAATTATCCCAAACTCATCCTTTAGAGTGCATATATATCTAAATCATCAATAAATGGTGTATAACTTACTATACTTTCCACAGATCTTCATCAGTTTGTCTCGCTTGCCACTCTCCCTGAAGACGTCCAGGGTCTTCTGCATGACCTTCGGCAAGTGTTGGAGGCTGTAAGGCAAGATGAGGGAGTCAGCGAAATACTTGAGCAGGAGGGATGCGATCCTGCTGCAGCCCTGGTGAATCCTGAATCCTGGGTCGATATTCTTATCCACCATATAGAAGGTGTCGTAGCCAGAGTGGTAGGCGGGGAATCTGGAGATGTCGTACTTATTCTGTCATAGAAAGAACATAAGTCTCAAATAGTGGGATTTTGCTGATGCAGGCCTATGGGCCTATACAAGGCAGCTCCTTGTTCAACCATGCCATGTATTTGTCCTATTTTTTTCCCCAATGATACCCAAGAAATTGCTTTCATACCCCAAACACCAATCAAGGAGAGAGATGGAGAGAAAGCTTTGGGTAGCTGTGTACTTGTCACTGTGTACTTGTCACTGTGTACTTGGCACTGTGTACTTGGCACTGTGTCAACACTCAAGTTATCCTGTCAATAATAGCCTAACAATCCCTATGTCAAGACAGACATGTTGGATACAGTACAAGCAGCCACAATGTGAAGTAAGAATTAAGTTTACCTTGTCTCTCCTGAACCTAAAGTCCACACACGGGATGCCACATAGAAAATAAAAGGCGTCGTAATCGCTTCCTGAACCCAGTGTCCTCATCCTGGGAGAAGAAAAACAGTAAGATATTACAAGGACCCCAATGGAAATATGTCAAGGGCCCCAATGGTAATATGTCAAGGGTCCCAATGGTAATATGTCAAGGGCCCCAATGCAAAAAATGTCAAGGGCCCAAATGGAAATATGTCAAGGGCCCCAATGGAAATATGTCAAGGGCCCTAATGGAAATATGTCAAGGGCCCTAATGGAAATATGTCAAGGATCCCAATGGAAATATGTCAAGGAACCCAATGGAAATATGTCAAGGGCCCAATGGAAATATGTCAAGGGCCAATGGAAATATGTCAAGAGCCCCAATGGAAATATGTCAATGGCCCAAATGGAAATATGTCAAGGGCCCCAATGGAAATATGTCAGGGCCAATGAGAATATGTCAGGCCCCAATGGAAATATGTCAAGGCCCCAATGGAAATATGTCAAGGGCCCCAATGGAAATATGTCAAGGGCCCCAATGGAAATATGTCAAGGGCCCAATGGAAATATGTCAAAGCCCCAATGGAAATACGTCAAGAGCCCCAATGGAAATATGTCAAGAGCCCAATGGAAATATGTCAGGGCCCCAATGAGGTAATATGTCAAGGCCCATGGAAATATGTCAAGGGCCATGGAATATGTCAGAGCCCCAATGAAATATGTCAAGGCCCAATGGAAACTATGTCAAGGGCCCAATGAAAGTATGTCAAGGCCTCCAATGGAAATATGTCAAGAGCCCCAATGAAATACGTCAAAGCCCAATGGAAATATGTCAAGAGCCCCCCCAATGAAAATGTCAAGGCCCAATGGGATATGTCAAGGCCCCAATGGAAATATGTCAAGGGCCCCATGGAAATAGTTCAAGCCCCAATGGAAATATGTCAAGGCCCCAATGGGAATATGTCAAGAGCCCCAATGGAAATATGTCAAGGGCCCCAATGGAAATATGTCAAGAGCCCCAATGGAAATATGTCAAGAGCCCCAATGGAAATATGTCAAGAGCCCCAATGGAAATATGTCAGAGCCCAATGGAAATATGTCAAGAGCCAATGGAAATATGTCAAGAGCCCCAATGGAAATACGTCAAGAGCCCAAGGGAAATTGTCAAGAGCCCCAATGGAAATGTCAAGGGCCCCAATGGGAATATGTCAAGGCCCCAATGGAAATATGTCAAGGGCCCCAATGGAAATATGTCAAGAGCCCCAATGGAAATATGTCAAGGGCCCCAATGGGAATATGTCAAGGCCCCAATGGAAATATGTCAAGGGCCCCAATGGAAATATGTCAAGAGCCCCAATGGAAATATGTCAAGAGCCCCAATGGAAATATGTCAAGAGCCCCAAGTTGCAATATGTTCAATAGCCCCAATGGAAATATGTCAAGAGCCCCAATGGAAATATGTCAAGAGCCCCAATGGAAATATGTCAAGGCCCCAATAGGAATATGTCACTTTGTGTGATTTTTTGGGTTATCCTGGTGCGTAATTTACACATATGTTTCTGTGTGATAATTTGTGTATCTGAATAAACTTACTAACTTGCTAACTTACACCAATAATAATAATAATAATAATAATAATAATAATAATAATAATAATAATAATAATAATAATAATAATAATAATGGTAATAATGAGATGATGATGATGATATAATAATAATAATAATAATAATAATAATAATATAATAATAATAATAATAATATAATAATAATAATAATAATAATAAATAATAATAATAATAATAATAATAATAATAATAATAATATAATATATAATAATAATAATGATGATGATGATAATAATAATGATGAATGATGATGGATGATATATAATAAATGATAATAATGAATATGATGATGATAAAATAATAATAATAATAATATAATATAATAATATGATATATAATAATAATAATAAATAATAATATAATAATAATATATGATGATGATGATAATATATAATAATGATAATAATAATAATAATAATAATAATAATAATAATATAATATAAATTAATGATGAATATAATATAATAAAATAATAATATAATGTATAAATAATAATAATAATAATAATGATGATAATAATAATAATAATAATAATAATAATAATAATAATAATAATAATAATAATAATAATAATAATAATAATAATAATGATATAATAATAATAATAATAATGATGATGATGATAATGATGATGATGATGATAATAATAATAATAATATAAAAATAATAATAATAATAATAATAATAATAATAATAATAATAATAATAATAATAATAATAATACTGATAATAATAATAATAATGATGATGATGATGAATGATAATTTAATAATAATAATAATAATAATAATAATAATAATAATAATGATGATGATGATGATTATGATGATGATGAAAGATAATAATAATAATAATAATAATAATAATAATAATAATAATAATAATGATGACGATGATGAAAAATAATAATAATAATTATAAATTATAATAATAATGATGATGATGATGATGATGATAATAATAATAATATGATGATGATGATGACGATAATAATAAATAAAAATAATAATAATAATAATAATAATAATAATAATAATAATAATAATAATATTGATAATAATAATAATAATAATAATAATAATAATAATGATAAAAATAATAATAATGATAAAAATAATAATGATAATAATATTATTAATAATAAAATAATAATAATAATAATAATAATAATAATAATAATATTAATAATAATAATATTTAAAAATAATAATAATAATAATAAAAAATAATAATAATAATGAAAAATAATATTAATAATAATTTAAAAATAATAATAATAATAATAATTTAAAAATAATAATAATAATAATAATATAATAATAATATTAATAATAATAATGATTAATAATAATAAAAATAATAATTTAAAAAAATAATAATAATAATAATAATAAAATAATAATAATAATAATAATAATAATAATAATAATAATAATAACAATAATAATAATAATAAATAAAAATAATAATAATAATAATAATAATAATAATAATAATAATAATAATAATAATAATTTCTGTGTCATCATTCTCCTTAAATAAATTTTTTAACAAATTTTTCTCTCTATCTTGTGTATTATTATTGTCTGTTTTTTCTTCTCTTATTCCCCATTATCTCTTCTTTTACAAACACTTCATTCTGTCTTATTTTGATGCCTCTCTCACCTCTTTATTCTTTCTCTCTTTCATACTTTCTAAGTATTTTCCCCTCCCTTAGTTTCTCATTTTATTAATCATTTCCTCAGACTATGGAACGGGTGAGGTTCGAACTCACGGCGAGTTGGTCATAAAACTGCAGGCCAGTGCGTTAACCACTGGACCAGCCGGCTACAATAAGATCTAGCCGGTTCAGTGACTTACTGGGGTCTTAGTGGGAAGTTGTGGCATGGATCGGTCCAGTAATTTTGCTAGTGGGTTTGTGGTTTGAGAAAGTCCTGCCTAGAATGGGCCAGTAAGCCTACTGCTTTGTTCCTCTTCATGTTCTTGAGTTTTGCGACTCACTGGCCATGAGTTCAAACCCCACCCGTTCCGTGGTTATTACGACTGCGTGAGGCGTTCCGCCACTTTCTGTCACCTCTTCTTCAATTCCTTCCTTCAACTTACTCAGGCGAGGTTTGATTCCGATTCTGGGCAGCATTATGAGCTCTCCACTCGTCATATATAGTGGCACCATCTCTGACACCAGGCACCTGTAAAAGTGCCACCCTGGCAATAGAATCATTATGGTACTGCAACATAGAGGGGTTAGAAATAGACAGATATGCAACATCTGGGTATCTTGGTAGAGGTTTCGCCCAAAAGTGGCTTTATCAGTACAAATTATATACAACAGATGGGGTAATCAGTCCCACAGTCCTGGGTTAAGTTGGTGCAAATACCACTGTAGGCTTGAAGGCTCTGGAGCAGGTAGGTAGACAGACAGGTAGGTAGACAGACAGGTAGGTAGACAGGCAGCCAGGTAGACAGGCAGGTTGGCAGACAGGCAGGCAGGTAGGTAGACTGGCACGTAGGTAGACAGGCACGTACGTAGACAGGCAGGCAGGTAGACAGGCAGGTATGTAGACAGGCAGGTAGGTACACAGGCAGGTAGGTACACAGGCAGGTAGGTACACAGGCAGGAGGTACACAGGGAGGTAGGAAAACAGGCACGTAGGTAGAACAGGCAGGTAGGAACAGCAGGTATGTACAGGCAGGTAGGTCACACAGGCAGGTAGGTCACAGCAGGTATACAGGCAAGAGTAGACAGGCAGGTAGGTACAACAGGCAGTAGGTAGACAGGCAGGAGGAGCAGGCAGGCAGGTAGACAGGCAGGTAGGTAGACAGGCATGCAGGTAGACTGGCAGGTAGGTAGATAGGCAAGTAGATAGATAAGCAGGCAGGTAGGTAGGCAGGTAGGTAGATATGAAGGTAGGTAGACAGGCGGGTATGTAGACAGGCAGGTATGTAGACAGAGACAGGTAGGTAGGACAGCAGGTAGCTACAGGCAGGTAGGTACACAGGCAGGTAGGTACACAGGCAGGTAGGTACACAGGCAGGTAGGTACACAGGCAGGTAGGTACACAGGAAGGTAGGTACACACGAAGGTAGGTACACAGGCAAGCAGGTAGGACAGCAGGTAGGCAGACAGGCAGGTAGGTATACAGGCAGGTTGGTACACAAGGAGGTAGGTACACAGGCAGGCAGGCAGGCAGGCAGGTAGACAGGCAGGTAGGTACACAGACAGGTAGGTACACAGGCAGATAGGTAGACAGGCAGGCAGGCAGGCAGGCAGGCAGGCAGGCAGCAGGAAGCAGGAGCAGGCAGCAAGTAGGCAGTGTACACAGGCAGGTAGGTACACAGGCAGATAGGTAGACAGGCAGGGCAGGCAGGCAGGCAGGCAGGCAGGGAGGCAGACAGGCAGGTAGGTACACAGGCAGGTAGGTACACAGGCAGGTAGGTACACAGGCAGGCAGGTACACAGGCAGGTAGGAACACAAGCAGGTAGGTACACAGGCAGGCAGGCAGGCAGGTACACAGGCAAGTAGGTAGACAGGCAGGTAGACAGGCAGGCAAGTACACAGGCAGGTAGGTACACAGGCAGGTAGGTACATAGGCAGGCAGGTACACAGGCAGGTAGGTACACAGGCAGGTAGGCACACAGGCAGGCAGGTACACAGGCAGGTAGGCACACAGGCTGGCAGTTACACAAGCAGGTAGGTACACAGGCAGGTAGATACATAGGCAGGCAAGGTGAACAAGCAGGTAGGTACACAGGCAGGCAAGTAGACAGGCAGGTAGGTAGACAGGCAGGTAGGTACACAGGTAGATAGGTAGACAGGCAGGTAGGTACACAGGTAGATAGGTAGACAGGCAGGTAGAAACACAGGTAGATAGGTAGACAGGCAGGTAGATACACAGGTAGATGTAAGCAGTAGACACAGAAGACGGCAGGTAGATACACAGGTAGATAGGTAGACAGGCAGGTAGAAACACAGGTAGATAGGTAGACAGGCAGGTAAATACACAGGTAGATAGGTAGACAGGCAGGTAGATAGGTAGACAGGTAGGTAGAAACACAGGTAGATAGGTAGACAGGCAGGTAGGTACACAGGTAGATAGGTAGACAGGCAGGTAGGCACACAGGCAGATAAACAGAGAGTTACCAATTTCATTATCGTGGTAAGAGGGTCCCAGAGAAGGGGACTACTGGGTACGTTGATGATAGGTCCAGCAGCACAGGTGTCAGTGTTGAGGTACATCACTGCTCTCTCTTGTAGTTTGTTCACGTGTTCCTGAAATACATAGCTCTCTTTAGACATGTCGACTGGTATTAAGACATGTCGACTCGTATTAAGACATGTAGTGTCATATTAAGACATGTTGAGTCGTATTAAGACATGTCGACTCGTGTTAACACATGGGGAGTTACGTTAAGACGGATCTTAATGTGGTTGAAATCCACCCACAGGAGTATATCTTACTTCCACCTACTGGAGTATATCTTACCTCCACCTACTGGAGTATATCTTACTTCCACCTACTGGAGTATATCTTACTTCCACCTACTGGAGTATATCTTACTTCCACCTACTGGAGTATATCTTACTTCCACCTACTGGAGTATATCTTACTTCCACCTACTGGAGTATATCTTACTTCCACCTACTGGAGTATATCTTACTTCCACCTACTGGAGTATATCTTACTTCCACCTACTGGAGTATATCTTACTTCCACCTACTGGAGTATATCTTACTTCCACCCACTGAAGTATATCTTACTTCCACCTACTGGAGTATATCTTACCTCCACCCACAGGAGTATATCTTACCTCCACCCACTGGAGTATATCTTACTTCCACCCACTGGAGTATATCTTACTTCCACCCACTGGAGTATATCTTACTTCCACCCACTGGAGTATATCTTACTTCCACCCACTGAGTAATCTTACCTCCACCCACTGAGTATATCTTACTTCCACCCACTGGAGTATATCTTACTTCCACCCACTGGAGTACATCTTACCTCCACCCACTAGAGTACATCTTACCTCCACCCACTAGAGTACATCTTACCTCCACCCACTGGAGTACATCTTACCTCCACCCAATGGAGTACATCTTACCTCCACCCAATGGAGTACATCTTACCTCCACCCACTGAAGTACATCTTACCTCCACCCACTAGAGTACATCTTACCTCCACCCACTGGAGTACATCTTATCTCCACCCACTAGAGTACATCTTAACTCCACCCACTGGAGTACATCTTATCTCTACCCACTAGAGTACATCTTAGCTCCACCCACTAGAGTACATCTTACCTCCACCCACTGGAATACATCTTACCTCCACCCACTGGAGTACATCTTATCTCCACCCACTAGAGTACATCTTACCTCCACCCACTCCGTGGATCCAATAAGACCGTACTCTTCCGCGCCCCAACTACAGAAGACAAGAGTCCGTCGTGGTCGCCAACCTCGGGGAAAAGCAGAATATTTATGACAGAGTACATAAATTATGGCTGAGGGACTGTACATCTCTACTGATTATACTGACTCTTCTTGACTCGACTGAAGACGCTGGCTGTGTAGGAGAAACGTTCCGGAAGAAAGGTACCTAACTGCTACTCATGTGTCTTATCAACCAGAGGTTAAGGTATGAACAATTAACGTACGTAAAGATTATTCTTATCCAACACATAATGATAAAAATATAAGCTAATACTATCAGTATTTGTTGTAACTCACCCACACTGCTGATGAGTTGACCGAGAACACGCGCAGTCTCCAGCATCTGGGCAGTGCCACTAGATGGGTCACTGGCACCGTAGACCCAGGAATCACGGTGATTCCCGATCATTATGTAGCGGTCTGGAAAGTATGATAACATGTAATGTACCATACCACCGAAGGGTATAACTATGGGCTGATGATGGTCATGGATCGGTCCACGGGGGCGTTGACCCCCGGCACCCACTCCAGGTGCAAAGATACCCAGGTGTTGTGCGTGTGTCTAATTTATCAGCTTGTGGGTTCTGCGAACTATTTATCTACGTTCCTGTCAGTATGATCTAACCTAGAGTCATGACCTACTTCCACCTGTGGATTTATCCAAGGTGACGCTGTCTACAACTGCTTCACCTCACCTGTCTACAGTATACAAGCCACTTCTTCACGCATATGCTGTATTCTTATCAAGATTGAAGGACTGATTACATCGACTCCAATCTGAGGGACTGATTGCCTCATTCTTCCTCTGATCTACTACCATTTTCTCTGATAAGCTAAACACATGTGGAAGATGCCTCTTCAAGATACCTCTCCATTCCTCATTCATTTCTTGTTTCCCATCCTCTCTGAAGCCCGCCTCACCTGGCTCTACTTTCCCTCTAATGGTGCCAATGACGTTGTAAGAACGGTAGACTTGAAACACATTGTGAGTGCTTAGTCTCAGTATGTATGAGGAGAACTGATTCTTGAGCTCCGGTCCGAGGTTGTACTCCACGCCTGCCAGACCACCCTTCCAGGCGTCACTGGGGGCTGGAGTACCACCGATCTTCCTGGAAGACAGAAGTAGAGAATTAAAATGGTTTTTGTGAGTACGATAGGTGGTTTTAATGAGGAGATGCCTAGTATGAGCCCATAGAAGGAAGGTCGCAACCCCCTTGTGAGGGAGTCACGGCCCCCTTCAGAGGGGGGTGTTGACACTCCACCGGGGGTTGGAGAAAAGGAATTATCCACACCTGTGACCTCTACAAGGCTGATAAAGGATCAGTCCCAGTATATGGCCATGACCTGTGACCTCTACAAGGTTAATAAAGGATCTGTCCCAATACATGTCCATGACCCAGGAATGTTCATCCACCCACCCACCAGCACCCACATTCATCCATGCACCCACCACCACCTATGTTCGTCACCTACCCATATTCATGCACCCACCACCAACATCCACATCCACCAACACCCACATTCATCCACCTATACCCACTACTTACCCAAGTATAACACGGGCGTCGTCGTAACCAATAGGCTGGCAAGGAATCTTATGCAAGTCAATATCCTCAATCTTAAGCCTGTAGGCCTGAGCTGTGGGGGAATATACATGGAGAATATTAATCAGCTGTAGGCCTTAAAATGGACTTAGAGCTTGTCAAAATAATTACAAATAACAGTAATTGTTATATATGATCGTTGATAACTATTAAAAGTAATTATTATTGATGATAAAATCAAATTATTGTTATTATTATTATTATTATTATTATTATTATTATTATTATTATTATTATTATTATATAGGTGGAAAGTGGAGTGTGAGTACACACAGTGACCTGAAGAATAACATATTGGGATGAGGACTGGTAGACAGTGTGATTAGGTGACTCCAGTGTTGTTAGGTCGGTGGTGATGTGCCTGGTTGACTATAATGCTTGTTTATGCTGTTAAAATGCTGCAGTTCCCAGTAACGTCTATGATCTTGTTCCGTGAGGACGAGCTGTGTCTCATTCTAATTCATCAATGTCCCGTTGGAGTCCCTCTGGTGGACACAGGTGTACCTTAAGGCAGATGGACTGTTTACCTCAAACTCCTTTTGCTCTTCACCATTCTTCTTCGTATTGGACTGGTGAAACCACTGTGTTGTTCACCACACCATGAAACGTTGCACATGTACAGCAGTTACCTACCTGTGGAAGGCCAGCCAGGAGTCAGAGGGTCGCCACTAATGAGGAAGGTGGACCCTCGCTCTATGCCTGACCCGGGGAGCCACCAGGTATTGGGGTACACGGCCTCCTTCTCCTGTCCTTCAAGAGCCACATCGTTGGGGTCTGAGAAGAGAATCAAGCCTATGGCGCCTCGCTTCTCTGCATGCACCAGCTGTGGGTAAACCACAGATGGCTGTAATCTGTGACAGATGGTTTATGTAGGTGTTTAAGATAGGATTTGTTTGGATTTTTTAACCATAAAGAGAGAGAGAGAGAGAAAGAGAGAGAACATCCAAAACATCACTACATCTGAGATCATTTATTCCCAGGATGATTCGCGTCTGGAACGCGTTCTGCATAATGACATTAACGATATAAAGTCAATTGATCACATTAAATTCCTGGCCCACAGATGGCTCCAACGTCATCCTCTGCTACACAGCTGGACCACAGATGGTTCGAACGTCATCCTCTGCCACACAGCTGGATTACAGATGGCCCCAACGTCATCCTCTGCCATACAGCTGGCCCACGGATGGTTCCAGCGTCATCCTCTGCCACACAGCTGGACCACAGATGGCCCCAACGTCATTCTCTGCCACACAGATGGCCCACAGATGGCTCTCAATTCATCCTGTTCCTTATTTGCATGTCTCATAACAATAAAAATGCTTTTAATTAAATGAGCTGATGTAGGTAACAGCCCTTAGCTTGTAAATAAAGATAGGAACCCTAACCTTGAACGAGAGAGAGAGAGAGAGAGAGAGAGAGAGAGAGAGAGAGAGAGAGAGAGAGAGAGAGAGAGAGAGAGAGAGAGAGAGAGAGAGAGAGAGAGAGAGAGAGAGAGAGAGAGAGAGCAAGAGAGAAAGAGAGCACACACCAGCTCTACCAACCTCCCAGAGGACCTTCTCACCTTGTTCCCTCTGAAGATCTTGCCATAACGAGCGATAACGACGCAGCCTCTGACGCTGACGTTGAGTTCTTCCAGTCTGTCGAAGTCCTCCACTCTGGCGTAGTTGGCGTACACCAGCCCTCGACCAGACTCTGTACGCACCTCTCCTGCACGCAACACACCACAATACACAATACATTTCTGTATTCTGAACAACAAGGCCTCCCTGCCATGGGTTACAACAGGACCTTTTATATCTGTCAAAGACTATCCATGACCCTTCACATCTCCCACAGACTACCCATGAATCTTCACATCTCCCACAGACTCTCCATGACCCTTCACATCTCCCACAGACTATCCATGACCCTTCACATCTCCCACAGACTACCCATGAATCTTCACATCTCCCACAGACTCTCCATGACCCTTCACATCTCCCACAGACTATTCATGACCCTTCACATCTCCCACAGACTATCCATGAACCTCCACATCTCCCACGGACTATCCATGACCCTTCACATCTCCCACAGACTCTCCATGACCCTTCACATCTCCCACAGAGTATCAATGACCCTTCACATCTCCCACAGACTATCCATGACCCTTCACATCTTCCACAGACTATCCATGACCCTTCACATCTCCCACAGACTATCCATGAACCTCCACATCTCCCACAGACTATCCATGAACCTCCACATCTCCCACAGACTACCCATGAATCTTTACATCTCCCACAGACTATCCATGACCCTTCACATCTCCCACAGACTATCCATGACCCTTCACATCTCCCACAGACTATCCATGACCCTTCACATCTCCCACAGACTATCCATGAACCTCCACATCTCCCACAGACTATCCATGACCCTTCACATCTCCCACAGACTATCCATGACCCTTCACATCTCCCACAGACTATCCATGAACCTCCACATCTCCCACAGACTATCCATGACCCTTCACGTCTCCCACAGACTATCCATGAACCTCCACATCTCCCACAGACTATCCACGACCCTTCACATCTCCCACAGACTATCCATGAACCTCCACATCTCCCACAGACTATCCATGTACCTCCACATCTCCCACAGACTACCCATGAATCTTCACATCTCCCACAGACTATCCATGACCCTTCACATCTCTCACAGACTACCCATGAATCTTCACATCTCCCATAGACTATCCATGACCCTTCACATCTCCCACAGACTATCCATGACCCTTCACATCTCCCACAGACTATCCATGACCCTTCACATCTCCCACAGACTACCCATGAATCTTCACATCTCTCACAGACTATCCATGACCCTTCACATCTCCCACAGACTATCCATGACCCTTCACATCTCCCACAGACTATCCATGACCCTTCACATCTCCCACAGACTATCCATGACCCTTCACATCTCCCACAGACTATCCATGACCCTTCACATCTCCCACAGACTATCCATGACTCTTCACATCTCCCACAGACTATCCAAGACCCTTCACATCTCCCACAGACTATCCATGACTCTTCACATCTCCCACAGACTATCCATGACCCTTCACATCTCCCACAGACTATCCATGACCCTTCACATCTCCCACAGACTATCCATGACCCTTCACATCTCCCACAGACTATCCATGACCCTTCACATCTCCCACAGACTATCCATGACCCTTCACATCTCCCACAGACTATCCATGACCCTTCACATCTCTCACAGACTATCCATGACCCTTCACATCTCCCACAGACTATCCATGAACCTCCACATCTCTCACAGACTATCCATGACCCTTCACATCTCCCACAGACTCTCCATGAACCTTCACATCTCCCACAGACTATCCATGAACCTCCACATCTCTCACAGACTATCCATGACCCTTCACATCTCCCACAGACTATCCATGACCCTTCACATCTCCCACAGACTATCCATGACCCTTCACATCTCCCACAGACTCTCCATGAACCTTCACATCTCCCACAGACTATCCATGACCCTTCACATCTCCCACAGACTATCCATGACCCTTCACATCTCCCACAGACTATCCATGACCCTTCACATCTTCCACAGACTATCCATGACCCTTCACATCTCCCACAGACTATCCATGAACCTCCACATCTCCCACAGAATATCCATGAACCTCCACATCTCCCACAGACTACCCATGAATCTTTACATCTCCCACAGACTATCCATGACCCTTCACATCTCCCACAGACTATCCATGACCCTTCACATCTCCCACAGACTATCCATGACCCTTCACATCTCCCACAGACTATCCATGAACCTCCACATCTCCACAGACTATCCATGACCCTTCACATCTCCCACAGACTATCCATGACCCTTCACATCTCCCACAGACTATCCATGAACCTCCACATCTCCCACAGACTATCCATGACCCTTCACATCTCCCACAGACTATCCATGAACCTCCACATCTCCCACAGACTATCCACGACCCTTCACATCTCCCACAGACTATCCATGAACCTCTACATCTCCCACAGACTATCCATGTACCTCCACATCTCCCACAGACTACCCATGAATCTTCACATCTCCCACAGACTATCCATGACCCTTCACATCTCTCACAGACTACCCATGAATCTTCACATCTCCCATAGACTATCCATGACCCTTCACATCTCTCACAGACTACCCATGAATCTTCACATCTCCCATAGACTATCCATGACCCTTCACATCTCCCACAGACTATCCATGAATCTTCACATCTCCCACAGACTATCCATGACCCTTCACATCTCCCACAGACTACCCATGAATCTTCACATCTCTCACAGACTATCCATGACCCTTCACATCTCCCACAGACTATCCATGACCCTTCACATCTCCCACAGACTATCCATGACCCTTCACATCTCCCACAGACTATCCATGACCCTTCACATCTCCCACAGACTATCCATGACCCTTCACATCTCCCACAGACTATCCATGACTCTTCACATCTCCCACAGACTATCCATGACCCTTCACATCTCCCACAGACTATCCATGACCCTTCACATCTCCCACAGACTATCCATGACCCTTCACATCTCCCACAGACTATCCATGACCCTTCACATCTCCCACAGACTATCCATGACCCTTCCCATCTCCCACAGACTATCCATGACCCTTCACATCTCTCACAGACTATCCATGACCCTTCACATCTCCCACAGACTATCCATGAACCTCCACATCTCTCACAGACTATCCATGACCCTTCACATCTCCCACAGACTCTCCATGAACCTTCACATCTCCCACAGACTATCCATGAACCTCCACATCTCTCACAGACTATCCATGACCCTTCACATCTCCCACAGACTATCCATGACCCTTCACATCTCCCACAGACTATCCATGACCCTTCACATCTCCCACAGACTCTCCATGAACCTTCACATCTCCCACAGACTATCCATGACCCTTCACATCTCCCACAGACTATCCATGACCCTTCACATCTCCCACAGACTATCCATGAGCCCTCACATCTCCCACAGACTATCCATGAAGGCTAATGTTAACCACCAGGATACAGAGTAACACTGACGACTCTAGTAACACTCAGGTCGCCACAAGTTACACATTAATGCAACTAAAATTATCAAGGGACTGGTCCTTGATAATGTAAAAAATCACGAAAGGTCTTGGGATTTCACCATATTTTTCACAGTGGTTGTTGTGCCTACTGTGATAGCAACTGTTTACTGTGATCTTATGGAATATTAGTCCAACAACCACACCAACTCTTCCCCCAACCACTCTAGCCGTTCCAGCAACCACTCCAGCTGCTCCACCAACTGTTCCAGCAACTACACCAGCTGCACCACCGTTCCAGCAATCACTCCAGCTGCACCATCAACTGTTCCAGCAACTACACCAGCTGCACCACTGTTCCAGCAACCACAACAATTGTTCCAGTAACCACTTCAGCTGCACAACCGTTCCAGCAACCACTCCAGCTACACCACCGTTCCAGCAACCACGCCAACTGTTCCAGCAACAACTCCAGCTACACCACCGTTCCAGCAAGCACGCCAACTGTTCCAGCAACCACTCCAGCTACACCAACGTTCCAGCAACCACGCCAACTGTTCCAGCACCACAACAACTGTTCCAGCAACCACTCCAGCTACACCACCACCACCAACACACACCTGCTGGAGTGAAACCATTAAAAGCATGGACTGAGTCCGGTTGATCCTCCTCCTCCAGCAGTAGCTTCTCCTTGTAGGCGCTGCTGAACACCACTCGACCCTCACCGTCTTCAAGAGTCACCTGCAAATCACACACTTGGTAAAGCAAACCATACCACGGGTGGGGTTTGAACTCGCGGTCAGAGAGTCACAAAACTCCAGACCGTCGTGTTAGCCACTGGACCAGCTAGCTACAATGAGATTCATCTAATTAGGTATATTTCTACACCATAGGAAGGTTAGCATAGGCCACCACTGTGTCCACAAATGCAAGTGTTTACAGACGAATCTCCAGCTTGGATAGCCGTGGCGAACTCTAGCTCAAGTCCCCTCAAAGCAGTCAACATGACGGTAAAGCAAACTTTACATTGAATATCAATTTCAATTTCAGGATGCGCTCAATTACTGGGAGCGCTTGAGGTTTCTAAACCTGTATTCCCTGGAACGCAGGAGGGAGAGATACATGATTATATACACCTGGAAAATCCTAGAGGGACTAGTACCGAACTTGCACACGAAAATCACTCACTACGAAAGCAAAAGACTTGGCAGACGATGCACCATCCCCCCAATGAAAAGCAGGGGTGTCACTAGCACGTTAAGAGACCATACAATAAGTGTCAGGGGCCCGAGACTGTTCAACTGCCTCCCAGCATACATAAGGGGGATTACCAACAGACCCCTGGCAGTCTTCAAGTTGGCACTGGACAAGCACCTAAAGTCAGTTCCTGATCAGCCGGGCTGTGGCTCGTACGTTGGTTTGCGTGCAGCCAGCAGCAACAGCCTGGTTGATCAGGCTCTGATCCACCAGGAGGCCTGGTCACAGACCGGGCCGCGGGGGCGTTGACCCCCGAAACTCTCTCCAGGTAAACTCCAGGTATAATATTAAGTGAGCTTTAGAGTGTATCAGCTGATATTACTTAATTACAATTTGTAATTAAGTAATATCAGTTATATTTGCCCTACATTTCTTGTGTTTAATAACCCAGGAGAGTCTAACCCAGGATAAAAATCCAAGTACTCTGGCTTATATCAGAGTAAGTAAGGTTTGTCAGGAAACAGGACAAGTGTTTCCTGACACGGGTCTTAGTTATATTATGACCCGCAGCTGGGACCTTTGGTCATCTGAGCGAGACCTTCCCCTGGCTTACCCCTCCATCTCTTTAAAAGTCATGGTTATCATTAAGACAACTAAGAGACCTCAATACCACTCGTTCGTGGTTACAATAACATATATATATATATATATATATATATATATATATAAGATAAGATAAGATAAGATTTAGTTCGGATTTTTAACCCCGGAGGGTTAGCCACCCAGGATAACCCAAGAAAGTCAGTGCGTCATCGAGGACTGTCTAACTTATTTCCATTGGGGTCCTTAATCTTGTCCCCCAGGATGCGACCCACACCAGTCGACTAACACCCAGGTACCTATTTGCTGCTAGGTGAACAGGACAACAGGTGTAAGGAAACGTGTCGAAATGTTTCCACCCGCCGGGAATCGAACCCGGGCCCTCCGTGTGTTAAGCGGGAGCTTTAGCCACCAGGCCACCGGGCCTGGTTCAGTCCACGGGAGCAAACAAGACACTTCTTCACAGAGTTAAGTATAGGTCAGCACTCAAAGTACAGGTCACCACTCAAGAGCACACAAACAGGTCTTCACAGAGCTAAGTACACGTCACCGTGTATCATTAAACTCTAACCAAATATTATTAATTATAAATTAATCTAATTTATATAAACCTAAGGAAATATTCATATTATTTTCAAAACTGATTTTTATGAAACAAGATTCAATTACATTTCTGTCAACCATGGACTTGCTTGATACAACTTTCTCAACTTTTTGGATGGTTAAAATCTCTCTCTCTCTCTCTCTCTCTCTCTCTCTATATATATATATATATATATATATATATATATATATAATATATGAGAGAGAGAGAGAGAGGAGAGAGAGAGAGAGAGAGAGAGAGAGAGAGAGAGAGAGAGAGAGAGAGAGAGAGAGAGGAGAGAGAGAGAGAGAGAGAGAGAGAGAGAGAGAGAGAGAGAGAGAAAGAGAGAGAGAGAGAGAGAGAGAGAGAGAGAGAGAGAGAGAGAGAGAGAGAGAGAGATTTTAACCATCCAATACACATAAAGGGCCCAAGATCTGGAACTCACTGAATGAATCAGCTAAAGATCCCTTGTCTGCCAATCAATTTAGATTTATAATTAAAAGTCAACTCATGTCCCAAACTTAACTACACCAACACTTTGCTAGACCAAACACAAACCAATTCGTCCAACTGATCCTGTTGCTTCACTGTCTCTTAATCTTTCCACAACCTGGATCATAGGGCCACTTTGAAACTGCTTAAGAAATCCCAATTAAGATCTTTGAATCAGTTTAAAGTATTAATCTACACTTAAATCTGTGCTGTTGTAAAATGTACTGTTTTAAGTGTGTAAGAATATATGTGCTTAAAATTGTGTGGGCCAGTAGGCCTTCTGCAGTGTTCCTCCATTCTTATGTTCGTATGGTGGACCGTGGCCTGGTGGTAAAAGCTCTCGCTATACACGGTGAAGGTCCGGGTTCGGTTCCCGGCGAAAGGGTGGAAACGTTGGAGGTGTTTCCTTGCACAGGTTGTCCATGTTCACCCATCAGTAATAATGAGTACCTGGGTGTTAGTCGACTGGTGTGGGTCGCATCCTGGGTGTTAGTGGACTGGTGTGGGTCACATCCTGGGTGTTAGTCGACTGGTGTGGGTCGCATCCTGGGTGTTAGTGGACTGGTGTGGGTCGCATCCTGGGTGTTAGTCGACTGGTGTGGGTCGCATCCTGGGTGTTAGTGGACTGGTGTGGGTCACATCCTGGGTGTTAGTGGACTGGTGTGGGTGGCATCCTGGGTGTTAGGTGACTGGTGTGGGTGGCATCCTGGGTGTTAGGTGACTGGTGTGGGTCACATCCTGGGTGTTAGTGGACTGGTGTGGGTGGCATCCTGGGTGTTAGTGGACTGGTGTTGGTGGCATCCTGGGTGTTAGTGGACTGGTGTGAGTCGTATCCTGAAACAAAACTGACCTAATATGCAGGAAATGCTGTACATAACAAGGTATTTTCTATATAGTAGTATGTCATAGGTGTCAGCTATGGTCTGTATAAGTTGTATCATGTACTGCTAGAAATAAATATTATTATTATATTATCTCTAGTCTTCAGTAGGCTAAAAAGCATTAAAATTAGTCTGTCCGAAATGCACAGACATACTACTGGCTTTATTTCTGCTCAGCAACACTTTATTACATGTAAACTACAGTGTGTATACTACACAAATAAATAAAAATTTGATTTGAAGACCAGTCTCTTGTTATCAAGTGACCATGAGCGGTCGTGAGCAGCGACAACCTCCCCATTATGCTCTCAGAGAGACACTGATTGTTTGTAAACAAACATCACGTGTTCCTCCGCGCTGACAAGGATGCCAGTGAGTATTTTTTCATAAAACTAGCGCAAATATATATATAAAATTACATGAATAGGGACTATAAAAAGCTATCACACAATGTACTACTTATGCAGGGGTGTTAACCTGATAGTGTCGTCGCTTTTTTCGTTGTAATTACGATAAATAAACATAATTATCCTACATAAATTAAACTTACACCAAATTGTTGCCATATTTCTGGGCGATTTTTTCCCGTACACTTAACTTATTTTTTTATTGTTTCGATGCTTGTCCTACCAAAACGGTCGTCCACCATTAAGTCAGTAGGGTAATTTAGGCACACATGAGTCAAGTTAACATACATAGTGTAAATTACCCAGGATAATCCAAAAAAAAGCCAGTCAAAGTGGCTTATTTCCACTTGGGTCTTTGTAATACCTTACCACATATCCAACATCTGGGTATCTTTATTTCTAGACGTTTCGCTCACCCAGTACACTTCAACGACATCATGTGATCATGCAGAGGCATGATCTGTTTTGAGGTGAACTTTGTGTGGTGGTGTGTTGGCAATACTTATTGTCCCGTAGCTGGGTTGGTAGCGCACTTGGCTCACGCGTTGAGGTCAGGGGGTCGATCCCCGGTACGGGTAAAAACGTTGGGGCGTATTCCTTAAGACAACTGCTGTTACTGTTCCATAGCAGTAAGTAGGTACCTGGGTGTTAGTGGACTGGTGTAGGTGGCATCCTGGGTGTTAGTGGACTGGTGTGGGTGGCATCCTGGGTGTTAGTGGACTGGTGTGGGTGGCATCCTGGGTGTTAGTGGACTGGTGTGGGTGGCATCCTGGGTGTTAGTGGACTGGTGTGGGTGGCATCCTGGGTGTTAGTGGACTGGTGTGGGTGGCATCCTGGGTGTTAGTGGACTGGTGTGGGTGGCATCGTGGGTGTTAGTGGACTGGTGTGGGTGGCATCGTGGGTGTTAGTGGACTGGTGTGGGTGGCATCCTGGGTGTTAGTGGACTGGTGTGGATGGCATCCTGGGTGTTAGTGGACTGGTGTGGGTGGCATCCTGGGTGTTAGGTGTAATGGTTTGGAAAACCTTCCAGCTCCATCCCCAAACATCTTACTGCTTGGTGATTTCAACCTAAGGCAAACAAAATGGAAGAATGTAGCAAATAATGTTATAGCTGAAACAATCCCCGGAGGTAGCGCAGATGAAAGGTCACACACACATGAGCTACTAAGTCTCTGCGAAAAACACACCTTAAGCCAGCAGATAGTGGAGCCAACAAGACTAGAAAACACACTTGACCTTATCTTCACAAATAATGAGGACCTGATAAGAGACATAAGAATATCAAAAACAACTAATTCCGATCACAATCTAATCGAAGTCCAGACGTACATGCATAGGGGTCCTGAACAGCAGAATGCATGTACCTGTGAAGGTGTCTTCACAAAATACAATTTCAACAACAAGAACATCAACTGGGACCAGGGAAACCATGTCCTAAACGAAACATGTTGGGAAGATGTCTTAAATGACATGGATCCAAACCAGTGCCTTGAAAGAATCAACTTCCTGGTAGCCGAAGCATGTTCTAGGCATATTCCCCTAAGAAAGAAGAAGAGCAGGAGTAAACTGGAGAGAAAAAGACGCTCCCTCTACAGAAGACGACGAAGAGTCACTGAGCTCCTCAGGAGTGCTAGAATATCTGATACACGAAAGGAGGCGCTGACCAGGGAAGTGGAAACTATCGAACTTAAGCTAAATGACTCTTACAGGAACCATTGACAACATGCCTATGCACTCAGCCCCGGGCCCAGACTCGTGGAACTCTGTTTTCATTAAGAACTGCAAGAAACCCCTCTCGCGTGCCCTAAGTACACTATGGAGGAGGAGCTTGGACATGGGTGAAATTCCAGTCACTTAAAACAACGGATATAGCCCCACTCCATAAAGGTGGCAGCAAAGCATTAGCTAAGAACTATAGACCAATAGCTCTGACGTCCCACATCATAAAAATCTTTGAAAGAGTGCTAAGAAGCAGGACTGCAAATCACCTGGATTCCCAAAATCTGCACAATCCTAGGCAACATGGGTTCAGGGCAGGTCGCTCTTGCCTCTCACAACTACTGGATCACTATGACATGGCCTTGGATGCACTGGAAGAAAATCAGAATGCAGATGTAATATACACAGACTTTGCAAAAGCATTTGACAAATGCGATCATGGCGTAATAGCCCATAAAATACGTGCTAAAGGAATAACTGGGAAAGTGGGGAGATGGATCTTCAACTTCCTAACAAATCGAACACAAAGAGTAGTGGTCAACAGAGTTAATCGGAGGCTGCCATAGTGAAGAGCTCTGTTCCACAAGGCACAGTACTCGCCCCCATCTTATTCCTTATCCTCATATCAGACATAAACAGAGATATACACCACAGCACCGTATCATCCTTTGCGGATGATACTAGGATCTGCATGAGGCTGTCATCTGCTGAGGACGCGGTTAACCCCCAAAGAAGATATAAACAAAGTTTTCCAGTGGGCAACGGTAAACAATATGATGTTCAATGAGGACAAATTCCAACTACTCCGTTATGGAAAACTGGAGGAGATAATAACTAGAACAGAGTATACTACTGACTCCGGCCATACAATAGAGCGGAAAAATAATGTAAGGGACCTGGGAATAGTAATGTCTGAGGATCTCACTTTCAAGGATCACAACAGTGCCACGATCGCACGTGCAAAGAAAATGATAGGATGGATAATGAGAACTTACAAAACGAGAGATGCCAAGCCCATGATGATCCTTTTCAAATCACTTGTTCTCTCTAGGTTGGAATACTGCTGTACATTAACATCTCCATTCAAAGCAGGTGAAATCGCAGATCTAGAGAGTGTACAGAGATCCTTTACTGCACGTATAAGTTCTGTCAAGCATCTTAACTACTGGGAACGCTTGGAAGCACTTGACTTGTACTCGTTGGAACGCAGGAGGGAGAGATATATCATAATCTACACTTGGAAAATCTTGGAAGGAATGGTCCCAAATCTGCACACAGAAATCACTCCCTACGAAAGTAAAAGACTGGGCAGGCGATGCAAAATGCCCCCAATAAAAAGTAGGGGCGCCATTGGTACACTAAGAGAAAACACCATAAGTGTCCGGGGCCCAAAACTGTTCAACAGCCTCCCATCAAGCATTAGGGGAATTGCCAATAAACCCCTGGCTGCCTTCAAGAGAGAGCTGGACAGATACCTAAAGTCAGTGCCGGATCAGCCGGGCTGTGGCTCGTACGTTGGACTGCGTGCGGCCAGCAGTAACAGCCTAGTTGATCAGGCCCTGATCCATCGGGAGGCCTGGTCATGGACCGGGCCGCGGGGGCGTTCATCCCCGGAATAACCTCCAGGTAACCTCCAGGTAGGTGACTGGTGTGGGTGGCATCCTGGGTGTTAGGTGACTGGTGTGGGTGGCATCCTGGGTGTTAGGTGACTGGTGTGGGTGGCATCCTGGGCACAAAATTGACCTAATTTGTGGGAAATACTCTGCATAACAAGGAACTTTCTATATAGTAGTATGTCATAGGTGTCAGCTATGGTCTGTGTAAGTTGCATCATGTACTGGTAGAAATAATAATTATTATTATTATTATTATCATTATCTCCTGCCCCGTGTGTCTGTGTCTAGAATCAGTCAAGTTGTATACACACAAAGATGTGTATAGAATACACGTTGCTGTAATGAGTAACTTGGAGCCAAATATCTTTCAAGTCCGACAACAACAACAACACCTGCGTCTGCATATTGTACGTATATTGAGGATACTTGTGTTGCACAGGTCTGAGCTATACCATGAATTAAGGAAAATTTTAGACTTCAGCTTACGAAACAGAGCAAAGGCGATAGTAATTATGGACACGGTAGATTATAGGGGGAAAATCAATGTTATTGAAGACAGGGGAGCGTAAGTGCCTCTTACAGCTTCACTCTCTTGAGAGACGTAGAATGAGAGGAAATGTCATTGAGGTTTGTGAGTGAATGATGGGCATAACGAAGGTGATGTAGATGGAGTACTGAGAATGTTGAATCAGGTAAGAATCAGATTCAACGATTCTGAAATAGATAAGTTTAGATTTAGAAAGGACGTAGGTAAGCACTGGTTTCTAAAGAGAGTTGTCGATGTAGTGGGTTTATCAGTCCAATGTAGAGACCGTGGAAGATACGAAGTGCTAGTCTGAGGTGATCAGTCCCTCAGCTTTGATTTATCTGTTATAGATGGTGGAAGATTGGTAGGAATTAGCCTAGTAATGTCCAGTCCATCAGTCATGGTCTGTAATATTCATTAAGACTGATGGACTAAATTCTTTCTTGAGAGGGACTGATCTCGCCAAAATATTTCTTTAAGTGTTTCACTGTCTCCAGCAGATATATCAAGGCTGAGGGACTGATCACCCTAAACTACTTTATGTCTTCTTCTGTCTCCAAGATTTTCTGTTTCGGACTGATAAACAGCCAGAGGCAGAATGTCGGTACTGAATTCCATTTATGTACAACCTGCCAGTCACTTCAACATCATGTAAACTTGGCTCAGAGGACGTCTCCACAACCTTCTTCTCCACTACTGACCCGTCCCTCGGGGATGACCTACTTCCACTGAGGAATCCCACATACCAGTGACAATGAGTTCATTACCTTTGTAACTTGTGAGTTCATTACCTTGTACCTAGTTCAGCCATCAAAACTTTGGAGCACGGTCCCTGGACCCATTGTGTACCTCTGTAATCTGTAAATACCTTTGTAACTTATCATGATTGTGACTAGACCTACCTGGAGTTCATTACCTTTGTAAATTGTGAGTTCATTACCTTTGTAAATTGTGAATTCATTACCTCTGTAACTTGCTCAGCTATCAAAACTTTGAGGCCCAGTCCCTGGACCCATTATGTACCTCTGTAATCTTTTGACTACCGCCCACAGGATGGGTATGGGGTGCATAATAAACATATTAAACTAAACTAACTAGTGACAATATCTTGGTCTGCTGGACCTCCCTCACCTGACGCCAGTACAAGAGCGCCAGTCTTCATGTCTGTGATTCAGAGTCTTTAAGACTACGGCGCTCTTCACCATCCCTAAGACTGAGGGACTCATTACCTCACCTTTTGTATATCTACAGTCTTCCCATTGTGTCCTTGTACTGATAAAGTCACTGGCTGGAGGAACGTCTACAAAAAAAGACACCCAGAAGCTGTACATGTGATGTCTACGATTCCTAGTGTTGACCTATTTGACGAGCACCAATAATACATAATACCAACAAGGTGAGGAATCAGACACATGCGGAACAACTGGATATCTCCATCATGTAGTTCCACTGCAGAGACAGAAGAAGACTGAAGGGAAGACGGAAGGACAGAGATGATGTGTACTCACCAGGTTAGGGTTGGTGTGGTTGGGTCTGGAGAGAAGCACATCGTAAGGAACAAGGTCAGCGGTGTCAAACCCAGCTTCCATAAACTTATCACGTATCATACGGGCCAGCTGGTGGTCTCTCTCTGTACCAGCTAGATGTGGCAACCTGCTGAGTTCCCTGCAACGTATAACATATCTATTAATCCACAACAATGACTGGAAAATTAAAAATATATGCAACATCTGGGTTTGTTTTTAGTGTAGACGTGTCACGATCCAGTGGCTTATCAACACAAATTTAAGGACAAAACGGATAAACCGTAGAACTATATAGACAGATATGGGAATAAGTTCCTCGTGCCTTGGGGTCGGTGAAGAACACTGTAGCCAGTACTATATAAGCACCAGTCTTCCTGCCTCTGCTCGGTCAGGTGACCGAAAGCTGCAGCTGCGGGTTATTATTTGACTAAGACCCGCGTCAGGAAACACTTGTCCTGTTTCCTGACGAACCTAACCCAACCTAACCTAACCTAACCTAACCTAACCTAACCTAACATAACCTAACCTAACCTAACCTAACCTAACCTAACCTAACCTAACCTGTGCTTCAGAGTGTTGAAGGTCACAGTGGTCTCCACAACACCAAGACTGAGGGACTGATTACCTCATCTCTCGTCTACAGTTCCTCAGTCTTCTCATTATGTCGTTGAATTTATATTGAAAAAGCCACTGGAGGGCGAAACGTCTACAAATAAAAATACCCAGATGCTGTACATGTGTCTAATCTTCACGGTACTGTATACCATTAATGTACAGCAATGGGAGGAGCACTGCAGCAGGCCTACTGGCCCATGCAAGGCAGGTCCTTCTCAAACCCACACCCACTAATGAAACTATTTGCCTAACAAGGATATATGTATATTATTTACTGTAAGATTATAGGTCTACAAGACTAACACAGTAGCATTGCAGTAGGCCTTCTGGCCCTTGGTAGGCCTTCTGGCCCATGGTAGGTAGGTTCCTTTCAAATCCATTTTTTTCTCAGTCCACTGCTAAATCACTCACAACTGCATAATAATCTTCACCCAGGCAGTCATGATTATGTGGATCCGGTAGCCAAGGGCAACAATAGCCTGACTGAACAAGCACTGCTCAGGGAACCCTAGCCTCAGGCTAATTAATAATAATAATAATAATAATAATAATAATAATAATAATAATAATAATAATAATAATAATAATAATAATAATAATAATATTTATTACTACCAGTACCTGACACAACTTATACAGACCATAGCTGACACCTATGACATACTACTATATAGAAAGTTCCTTGTTATGTACAGCATTTCCTGCATATTAGGTCAGTTTTGTCCCCAGGATGCCACCCACACCAGTCACCTAACACCCAGGATGCCACCCACACCAGTCACCTAACACCAAGGATGCCACCCACACCAGTCACCTAACACCCAGGATGCCACCCACACCAGTCACCTAACACCCAGGATGCCACCCACACCAGTCACCTAACACCCAGGATGCCACCCACACCAGTCCACTAACACCCAGGATGCCACCCACACCAGTCACCTAACACCCAGGTACCTACTCACTGCTAGGTGAAAAGTGACAGTATGTGTAAGGTGACTAACATTCAGGTACCTGCTTACTGATAGGTAAAAACTGACAGCAGGTGGAAGGTGACTAACACCCAGGTACCTACTTACTGCTAGTGACAGTAGGTATCTTAAGGAAACACGTTTTAAAGTTTCCACCCGTACCGGGGATCGAACCACGAACCTCATTGTGTGAGGCGAGTGTGCTACCAACTCAGCCACGGGACACTAAGCCTATTACCAATAAATGTACTCACTTGAGGTTAGTTCTGAGATTATCTCTGTTTATCGACTCCATAATCTTGTGGTTCAGTTCGCTTTCAGAATCCCACTTGTCTGCCACCAGTTCCTCCATGATTCTGAACACGAGACAAAACACAGTCAAGAAGGGGATCGAACCGTGGTCTGTAAATTGACAGTCCGAAGCACTACCATAATAACAATTATAATAATAATATAATAATAATAATAATAATAATAATAATATAATAATAATAATAATAATAATAATAATAAAATAATAATAATAATAATAATAATATAATAATAATAATAATATATAATAATAATAATAATAATAATAATAATTAATAATTAATATAATAATAATAATAATAATAATAATAAAAATAATAATAATTATATAATAATATAATAATAATAAATAATAATAATAATAATAATTATAATATTAATAAAAATAATAATTAAATAATAATAATAATAATAATAATAATAATAAATTAATAATAATAATAATAACAATAATAATAATAATAATAATAATAATAATAATAATAAAATAATAATAATAATAATAATAATAATAATAATAATAATAATAATAATAATAATAATAATAATAATAATAATATAAAAATAATAATAATAATAATAATAATAATAATAATAATAATAATAATATATAATAATAAAATAATAAAATAATAATAATAATAATAATAATAATAATAATAATAATAATAATAATAATAATAATTAATAATAATACTACCAGTACTGACACAACTTATACAGACCATAATAAAAATAATAATAATAATAATAATAATTAATAAAATTTAATAATAATAATAATAATAATAATAATAATAAAAAATTATTTATTACTACCCGTACCTGACACAACTTATACAGACCATAATAATAATAATAATAATAATATAATAATAATAATAATAATAATAATAATAATAATAATAATAATAATAATAATAATTAAATAATAATATAATAATATTTATACTACCAGTACCTGACACAACTTATACGACCATAAATAATAATAATTAAAAATAATAATAATAATAATAATAATAATAATAATAATAATAATAATAATATAATAATAATATTTATTACTACAGTACTGCACATTATACCAGACCTGAACAATATAAGAATAATAATAATATAATAATAAATAATAATAATAATAATAATATATAATAATATTTAAATATACTACCAGTACCTGACACAACTTATACAGACCATAGCTGAATATGACATACTATATATAATAATCTATGTTATATACAGTAATTCCTATATTAGTAGTTTGTACCCAGGTGCCACCACTTAACAGCATAACCCATGGTACCTACTTACTGCTAGTGACAGGCATCAGGTGTTTTATGGAAACAGTCCATGTTTCCAGGTACCGAATCATCTCCGCATCAGTGTGTGAGCTGAGTGTCGCTACCAGTTGACCTAGGCTGACCAGGCCTTAATAGGAAGGAATCGAAGGTAGATAGAAAATTAAATTTGAAATATAAATATATAATATTTATATATAATATATATATATATATATATATATATATATATATTATATATATATATATATTATATATATATATATATATATATATATATATATATATATATATTATATATATATATATATATATATATATATATATATATATATATTATATATATATATATATTATATATATTTTATATATTATCAAACTGATCTATTCCCACCAAGGCAGGGTGGCCCACCAAGGCAGGGTGACCCACCAAGGCAGGGTGGCCCACCAAGGCAGGGTGACCCACCAAGGCAGGGTGGCCCCCCAAAAGGGCCCAGGGTGGCCCACCAAAGGCAGGGTGGCCCACCAAGGGGGGGGGGCCCCCAAGGGGGGGGGTCCCCCAAGGCAGGGTTTGGCCCCAGGCAGGGTGGACCACCAAGGCGGGGGGCCCCACAAGGGCAGGGTGGCCGAAAAAAAAAAAACTTTCACCCATCATTCCTCCATCACTGTCTTGCCGAAGGGTGCTTTACACTACAGTTTTTAAACTGCAACATTAAAAACCCCTCCTTCAGAGTGCGGCACTGTACTTCCCATCTCCCGGACTCAAGTCCCGGCCCGCTGGTTTCCCTGAACCCCTTCATAAATGTTACTTTGTCACACCCAACAGCCTCAAGTATTAAAAAAAAATTTGGGCCCATTCACTCCTATCAAACACGTTCACTCTGCCTGCTGGAAGTCCAAGCCCCTTTACACAAAAAACCCCCTTTACCCCCTCCCTCCAACCTTTCCTAGGGCCCACCCCCCCCCCCCTTCCTTCCACCAGACTGATACACTCTTGAAGTCACTTGTTTCACTCCCTTCTTCTACATGTCCGAACCCCCCCTCAACAACCCTTCCCCAGCCCTCTGGGAAAAGTTTTGGTAATCCCCCACCTCCTCCCAACTTCCAAACTCGAATTTCGCTTATATTCACACCCCACATTGCCTCAGAATGAATTTTCCCCTGCCTCCAGCCTTCTCCTCGCTGCAACAAAACAAACACCCTGCTTTACACCCCTATAAGGCGTTGGTAAAACTAAAACTTATACATTCCCCCCTTTTGCCTCCAAGGACAAAGTTCTTTGTCTCCACAGACCCTAAGTGCCCACCACTCTTTTTCCCCCCATAAAAACTATGATTCAACCCCATCTTTTTAGACCCATCCCCCTGACCGTCCACTCCAAATATCTGAATACGTTCACCCCCTCCATTCCTCCCTCCAAATTTATATCCAAAACTTTTCACTTTATATAATTTTTATATAAATAATATATATATATATATATTATATTATATATATATATTATATATATATATATAATTATATATATATATATATATATTTTTAATTTATTATATATATATTTTAATTTTATATGATATATATTAAAATTTTATATTTATTTTTTTATTTATGGGGTATTGTTTTCAAAATTTTTTTAATTTAATTTTTTCATTTTTTTAAAGTAATTAAATCCATTAAATTTTTGGGTGTGTTTTCCATTTAAATTTGAAATTTAAATAGTGTTTTGGATAAAGAGCCCCTTTTTTTCCCAAAAAACAGTCTTGGAAAATCCCCCCTTGCCCTTATATGTAAGGGGTAAATAGATAGCCATTAACCCTGAAATACTTGATTTACCATTAAAATTTTTCTGTCATGGTTTTATATCCCGGAAAAACACTATATATTTCTTTTTTCCCATTATCTTTTTTTAAGAAAGTGGACGTTTATGCAACATTCTGTAATATTATTAATTCAATTTTCGCTCACCAGAAGCCACATTAAACCCTAATACAGTGGCACATCGGTATACGACCTTAATTCGTTCCATAACGCTGTTCGAGCACCAAATGAATTCATTCCCATAAGGAATAATGTACAGTACATTAATCTATATTGGACCCCCAAAAATATACTTACAAAACCACTTACAAAAATAAACTTACATAATTGTTCAAGTTTGGAGGTGTTCGTATACCGAGGTACCGCTGTATAAGGTGTTCGTATACCGAGGTACCGTTTGTATAAGGTGTTCGTATACCGAGGTACCGCTGTATAAGGTGTTCGTATACCGAGGTACCGCTGTATAAGGTGTTCGTATACCGAGGTACTGCTGTATAAGGTGTTCGTTATACGAGGTACCGCTGTATAAGGTGTTCGTATACCGAGGTACCGCTGTATAAGGTGTTCGTATACCGAGGTACCGCTGTATAAGGTGTTCGTATACCAAGGTACCGCTGTATAAGGTGTTCGTATACCGAGGTACCGCTGTATAAGGTGTTCGTATACCGAGGTACCGCTGTATAAGGTGTTCGTATACCGAGGTACCGCTGTATAAGGTGTTCGTATACCGAGGTACCGCTGTATAAGGTGTTCGTATACCGAGGTACCACTGTATAAGGTGTTCGTATACCGAGGTACCGCTGTATACATGACAGAAGGGTAGTGGATGGGTCCCAAAATTTGCAGTCTTCTTAAAAAAATAACAGTATAGTTGAATGGGTAAACAAATGTAATTTGTGGAATATTTTTTCTCTGAGTTGAACAATGTGAGATTAGTTGTATATTTCTGGAGACCCTGTGAGATTAAGAAAGGATTTTGTTGGGGTTTTTAACTCCGGAGTGTTAGCCAGCCAGGATGATCCACGGTGGGGAGTGTTAGCCAGCCAGGATGATCCAGGGTAGGGAGTGTTAGCCAGCCAGGATGATCCAGGGTAAGGAGTGCTAGCCAGCCAGGATGATCCAGGGTAAGGAGTGTTAGCCAGCCAGGATGATCCAGGGTAAGGAGTGTTAGCCAACCAGGATGATCCAGGGTAAGGAGTGTTAGCCAGCCAGGATGATCCAGGGTAGGGAGTGTTAGCCAGCCAGGATGATCCAGGGTAAGGAGTGTTAGCCAGCCAGGATGATCCAGGGAAAGGGGAGTGTTAGCCAGCCAGGATGATCCAGGGTAGGGAGTGTTAGCCAGCCAGGATGATCCAGGGTAGGGAGTGTTAACCAGCCAGGATGATCCAGGGTAAGGAGTGTTAGCCAGCCAGGATGATCCAGGGTAAGGAGTGTTAGCCAGCCAGGATGATCCAGGGTAGGGAGTGTTAGCCAGCCAGGATGATCCAGGGTAGGGAGTGTTAACCAGCCAGGATGATCCAGGGTAAGGAGTGTTAGCCAGCCAGGATGATCCAGGGTAAGGAGTGTTAGCCAGCCAGGATGATCCAGGGTAGGGAGTGTTAGCCAGCCAGGATGATCCAGAGTAGGGAGTGTTAACCAGCCAGGATGATCCAGGGTAAGGAGTGTTAGCCAGTCAGGATGATCCAGGATAAGGAGTGTTAGCCAGCCAGGATGATCCAGGGTAAGGAGTGTTAGCCAGCCAGGATGATCCAGGGTAAGGAGTGTTAGCCAGCCAGGATGATCCAGGGAAAGGAGTGTTTTCCAGCCAGGATGATCCAGGGTAAAGAGTGTTAGCCAGCCAGGATGATCCAGGGTAAAGAGTGTTAGCCAGCCAGGATGATCCAGGGTAAGGAGTGTTATCCAGCCAGGATGATCCAGGGTAGGGAGTGTTAGCCAGCCAGGATAACCCAGCATAGGTAGGGTTAGCCAGCCAGGATAACCCAGGATAGGGAGAGTTTGCCAGCCAGGATAACTCAAGAAAGTCAGTGGGTATCAAGGACTGTCTGTCTTATTCCCATTGTGGTCCTTCAACCTTGCCCCCCAGGATGCCACCCACACCAGTCCACTAGCACCCAGGTACCTACTTTCTTGCTAGGTGAAGAGTGACAGCAAGTGTAAGGTGACTAACACCCAGGTACCTTGTTACTGCTTGGTGGACAGTGACAGCCGGTGTAAGGTAACAAACCCAGTGTCTCCACCCTCACCGGGGATCGAATCCCGGCCACTCAGCCTGTGTGGCCAGAGCGCTGCCAATCAGACCACAGTACATCCTACATATATGATACCCAATAAAAAGACACATCTTTCTGAATCTGCATTGATAAAACCACATATGTCACACATGTGTCTGAAGACCCTAACCTGACCTAACCTGACCTAACCTGACCTAACCTGACCTAACCTGACCTAACCTGACCTAACCTGACCTAACCTAACCTAACCTAACCTAACCTGACCTAACCTGACCTAACCTGACCTAACCTGACCTAACCTGACCTAACCTGACCTAACCTGACCTAACCTAACCTAACCTAACCTAACCTAACCTAACCTGACCTAACCTGACCTAACCTGACCTAACCTGGCCTAACCTGACCTAACCTGACCTAACCTGACCTAACCTAACCTAACCTAACCTAACCTGACCTAACCTGACCTAACCTGACCTAACCTGGCCTAACCTGACCTAACCTGACCTAACCTGACCTAACCTAACCTAACCTAACCTGACCTAACCTGACCTAACCTGACCTACCTGACCTAACCTGACCTAACTTGACCTAAGCTGACCTAATCTGACCTAAGCTATCCTAACCTAACCTAACCTAACCTAACTTAACCTAACCTGACCTAACCTGACCTAACCTGACCTAACCTGACCTAACCTGACCTAACCTGACCTAACCTAACCTAACCTAACCTAACCTGACCTAACCTGACTTAACTTGGCCTAACCTGACCTAACCTAACCTAACCTGACCTAACCTGACCTAACCTGACCTAACCTGACCTTACCTAACCTAACTTAACCTAATCTAACCTAACCTAACCTGACCTAACCCGACCTAACCTGACCTAACCTGACCTAACCTGACTTAACTTGGCCTAACCTGACCTAACCTGACCTAACCTGACCTAACCTGACCTAACCTGACCTAACCTGACCTAACTTGACCTAAGCTGACCTAATCTGACCTAAGCTATCCTAACCTAACCTAACCTAACCTAACTTAACCTAACCTGACCTAACCTGACCTAACCTGACCTAACCTAACCTAACTGACCTAACCTGACTTAACTTGGCCTAACCTGACCTAACCTAACCTAACCTGACCTAACCTGACCTAACCTGACCTTACCTAACTAACTTAACCTAATCTAACCTAACCTAACCTAACCTTACCTAACCTAACCTAACCTAACCTAACCTAACCTAACCTAACCTAACCTAACCTAACCCTGACTTGACATTGCTTGACTTAACCTGCCCTGACCTGACCTGATCTTCTCCTTGTCAGTGCTGGAGAGGTTCTTAATGCAGTAGTGACCCACCAGACCACCAATCACTAGGCAGACTGCACCAGCTACCACCGTCAGCACTGTCTGCCGACCAACCATCTGTCACCTGGAGATAACGTCAGCTATTAATAATAATAATAATAATAATAATTAATAATATATAATAATAATAATAATAATTAATAATAATAATAATAATAATAATAATAATAATAATAATAATTAATAATAATAATGGAGTGATGATAATAAGACAATTGTGCCGTATTTAGGAATCTTTGTTAAGGAGACGTGTCGCCCACCAGTGGGATCTTCAGTCCAATACAGAGAAATGCTGGAAGATAAGGAGCAGTGTGAAGGGATCAGTCCCTTAACCTGGAGTTCAGGTCTTCACAGGGGGGAAAAGGTCACAACGAGTCCAGTGTCCTTCACTAGTATCAAGGTCACTGGACACCTTCACTAGCATAAAGGTCACTAGACACCTTCACTAGTATCAAGGTCACTGGACACCCTCACTAGCATCAAGGTCACTGGACATCTTCACTAGCATCAAGTTCACTGGTCACCCTCACAAGCATCAAGGTCACTGGACATCTTCACTAGCATCAAGTTCACTGGTCACCCTCACAAGCATCAAGGTCACTGGACATCTTCACTAGCATCAAGGTCACTGGCACCCTCACAAGCATCAAGGTCACTGGACAACCTCACTAACATCAAGGTCACTGGACAACCTCACTAGCATAAAAGTCACTGGGCACCTTTACTAGCATCAAGGTCACTGAACACCCTCACTAGCATCAAGGTCACTACACACTCTCACTAGCATCAAGGTCACTACACACTAGCATCAAGGTCACTACACACTCACTACCATGAAGGTCACTACACACCCTCACTAGCATCAAGGTCACTGGACAACTTCACTAGCATCAAGGTCACTAGACACCTTTACTACCATCAAGGTCACTGAACACCTTCACTAGCATCAAGGTCACTATACACTCTCACTAGCATCAAGGTCACTACACACTACCATGAAGGTCACTACACACCCTCACTAGCATCAGGGTCACTACATACCCTAACGAGCATCAAGGTCACTGGCCACCCTCACTAGCATCAAGGTTACTACACACTCTCACTAGCATCAAGGTCACTACACACTCACTAGCATCAAGGCCACTACACACTAGTATCAAGGTCACTACACAGTAGCATCAAGGTCACTACACACTAGCATCAAGGTCACTACATACCCTAACTAGCATCAAGGTCACTTCACACTCACTAGCATCAAGGTCACTGCACACTAGCATCAAGGTCACTACACACTAGCATCAAGGTCATTACATACCCTAACTAGCATCAAGGTCACTGGCCACCTTCACTAGCATCAAGGTCACTACATACTCTCACTAGCATCACGGTCACTACACACTAGCATCAAGGTCACTACACACTAGCATCAAGGTCACTACACACTAGCATCAAGGTCACTACACACTCTCACTAGCATCACGGTCACTACACACTACCATCAAGGTCACTACACACTAGCATCAAGGTCACTGGCCACCCTCACTAGCATCAAGGTCACTACACACTCTCACTAGCATCAAGGTCATACACACTCTCACTAGCATCACGGTCACTACACACTAGCATCAAGGTCACTACACACTAGCATCAAGGTCACTACACACTAGCATCAAGGTCACTACACACTAGCATCAAGGTCACTACACACTAGCATCAAGGTCACTACCACCATTTCAAGGACTCACGACTTAAAAAACAATGTGACTTTTAACTTTTATCCCAATGATGACCGTAGCAATGAAGAGGCGGGGCCAGGAGCTATGACTCGACCCCAGCAACCACGATTAGGTGAGTACTTGTATCTCCGCCTGTCTTAAATTGAAGGATGGAAAGAGAGGGAATAATGGGTGGACAGGAGACCAGCAGGGAGGCCGGAGTGGCTTCCTACTCCACTGGCTTCTGGCTTACTACTGCGCCAGAGTCACTCTTAACCAGCAAGTACCTGGGTTGGTGACGCACTTACCTTGCAGTTTGAGGTCCGTGGTTCGATCCCCGGTACGGGTGGAAACGTTGGTCACCCTTACACCTGCTGTTGCTGTTCACCTAGCAGAAAGTAGGTGCCTGGGTGTTAGTCACCTTACACCTGCTGACACTTTTCACCTGGACTCCAGACTAAGGGACTGATCCCCTCAAACTCCTCCTCATCTTCCACTGTTTCACTGTATTGGACTGAAGAAGCCACTGGTGGGCGAATGGCTAATGTAATTCCTCTATTTAATTCAGAGGATAAATCCATGTCATCAGACTACCCTCCATTAAGTCTGACATCTAGAGTAGGCAAATTATTAGAATATATTATAAATGATATTAGAAATTACCGTAATGAGCATTATTTGGTTAATAAATCTTAGTGTGTCCTTAATGAACCCATCAACCCAACAACACCGTCAAAGGACCATACAAACCCATCAACCCAACAACGCCGTCACAGGACAATACTAACCCATCAACCCAACAACGCCGTCACAGGACAATACTAACCCATCAACCCAACAACGCCATCACAGGACAATACTAACCCATCAACCAAGCAACGCCGTCACAGGACAATACTAACCCATCAACCAAACAACACCGTCAGAAGACCATACTAACCCATCAACCCAACAACACCATCACAGGACCGTACTAACCCATCAACCCAACAACACCATCACAGGACCGTACTAACCCATCAACCCAATAACACCGTCAAAGGACCATACTAACCCATCAACCCAATAACACCGTCAAAGGACGATACTAACCCATCAACCCAACAATGCCGTCACAGGACAATACTAACCCATCAACCAAACAACACCGTCAGAGGACCATACTAACCCATCAACCCAACAACACCATCACAGGACCGTACTAACCCATCACCCCGCCAACACAGTCACAGGATCATACTACCCATCAAACCAACAACACCATTACAGTACCGTACTAACCTGTCAACCCAACAACACCATCACAAGACCATACTAACCCATCAACCCAACAACACAGTCACAGGATCATACTACCCCATCAAACCAACAACACCATCACAGGACCGTACTAACCCATCAACCCAATAACACCGTCAAAGGACCATACTAACCCATCAACCCAAATAACACCGTCAAAGGACGATACTACCCATCAACCCAACAATGCCATCACAGGACAATACTAACCCATCAACCAAACATCACCGTCAGAGGACCATACTAACCCTCAACCCAACAACACCGTCACAGGACCGTGCTAACCCATCAACCCACCAACACCATCACAGGACCATACTAACCCATCATCCAACAACACCGTCACAGGACCATAGTAACCCATCAACCACAACACCATCACATGACCATACTAACCCATCAACCCAACAACAACAACACCATCACAGGACCATACTAACCCATCAACCCAACAACAACACAATCACAGGACCGTACTAACCCATCAACCCAACAACAACACCATCACAGGACCGTACTAACCCATCAACCAACAACACCGTCACAGGACCATACTGACCCAACAACCCAACAACACCATCAAAGGACCATACTAACCCATCAAACCAACAACAACAACACTATCACAGGACAGTACTAACCCATCAACCAACAACACCATCACAGGACCATACTAACCCATCAACCCAACAACAACAACACCATCACAGGGACCGTACTAACCCAACAACCCAACAAAAACAACACCGTCAGATGACCATACTAACCCATCAACCCAACAACACCATCACAGGACTGTACTAACCCATCAACCCAACAACACCATCAAAGGACAATACTAACCCATCAACCCAACAACAGCAACACCATCACAGGACTGTACTAACCCATCAACCCAACAATACCATCACAGGACCATACTAACCCATCAACCCAACAATAACAACACCTATGCAACAGTTAGGTATCTTCATTTCGAAACGTTTCGCCTACACAGTAGGCTTCTTCAGTCGAGTACAGAAAAGTTGATAGAAGCAGAAGAGACTTGAAGACGATGTAATCAGTCCATCACCCTTGAAATTTTGAGGTGGTCAGTCCCTCAGTCTGGAGAAGAGCATTAAACCAAAGTCTGAAACAATATGAGTTGAAGTGATAGGATGGAGCCTTATATAGCACCAGGAGGTGAGACGTAGGTCACTAGAAGACGCAAGAACGTAGATGTTGGGAGGTCAGGTCACTCTCAAATCCAGCCGTTCTCACTAGTAGAGGTTGTCGAAGTTGATTTCAGGTCTGTATCAAGATACCCTTGTGTTGCAGTCATCTCCATATTGTTTCAGACTATAGAACAATGCTCTTCTCCAGACTGAGGGACTGACCACCTCAAAACTTCAAGGGTGATGGACTGATTACATCGTCTTCCAGTCTCTTTTGCTTCTATCAACTTTTCTATACTCGACTGAAGAAGCCTACTGTGTAAGCGAAACGTTTCGAAATAAAGTTACCTAACTGTTTCATATGTGTCTTACCTAACAACCTGTCGGTATTTTATACCATTTTAATGTTCAACAACACTACCATCACAGGACCGTACTAACCCATCAACTCAACAAAAACTACACCGTCACAGGACCATACTAACCCATCAACCCAACAACACCAACACAATCATAGGACCGTACTAACCCATCAACCCAACAATACCATCACAGGATCATACTAACCCATCATCCCAACAACAACAACACCATCACAGGACCATACTAACCCATCAACCCAACAACAACGACACTGTCACACGACCATACTCACCCATCAACTCAACAACAACAACACCATCACAGGATCATACTAACCCATCAACCCAACAAAAACATGACTGTCACAGGACCGTACTAACCCATCAACCCTACAGTACCATCACAGGACCGTACTAACCCATCAACCCAACAATACAATCACAGGACTGTACTAACCCATCAACCCAACAATACCATCACAGGACCATTCTAACCCATCAACCCAACAACACCATCACAGGACCATAGTAACCCATCAACCTAACAACACCAACAAAGGACAATACTAACCCATCAACCCAACAACAACAACACCATCACAGGACCATACTAACCCATCAACCAAACAACACCATCAAAGGACCATACTAACCCATCAACCCAACAACAACAACACCATCAAAGGACCTTAGTAACCCATCAACCAAGCAACAACAACACCATTACAGGACAGTTCTAACCCAACAACCCAACAATACCATCACAGGATCGTACTAACCCATCAACCCAACAACACCATCACAGGCCCATACTAACCATCAACCCAACAACAACAACACCGTCACAGGACCATCCTAACCCATCAACCCAACAACAACACCACAGTCACAGGACCGTACTAACCCATCAACTCAACAACAACAACACCGTCAAAGGACCATACTAACCCATCAACCCAACAACAACAACACCAGCACAGGACCGTACTAACCCATCAACCAAACAACAACAACACCGTCACAGGACCGTACTAACCCATCAACCCAACAACAACAACACCGTCACAGGACCGTACTAACCCATCAACCTAACAACACCATCACAGGACCGTACTAACCCATCAACCCAACAATACAATCACAGGACCGTACTAACCCATCAACCAAACAATACCATCACAGGACTGTACTAACCCATCAACCTAACAACACCATCACAGGACCATACTAAACCCTCATCCCAAAAATAACAACACCATCACAGGACCATACTAACCCATCAACCCAACAACAACGACACCGTCACAGGATCATACTAACCAATCAACCCAACAAAAACAAGACCGTCACAGGACCGTACTAAGCCATCAACCCTACAACACCATCACAGGACTGTACTAACCCATCAACCCAACAATACAATCACAGGACTGTACTAACCCATCAACCTAACAATACCATCACAGGACTGTACTAACCCATCAACCCAACAATACCATCACAGGACCCTACTAACCCATCAACCCAACAACAACAACACCATCACAGTACCATAGTAACCCAACAATACCATCACAGGACCCTACTAACCCATCAACCCAACAACAACAACACCATCACAGTACCGTAGTAACCCAACAATACCATCACAGGACCGTACTAACCAATCAACCTAACAATACTATCACAGGACGGTACTAACCCATCAACCCAACAATACCATCACAGGACCGTACTAACTAATCAACCCAACAACAACAACACCATCACAGGACCGTACTGACCCATCAACCCAACAATACCATCACAGGACCGTACTAACCCATCAACCCAACAATAACAACACTGTCACAGGACCGTACTAACCCATCAACCCAACAATACCATCACAGGACCGTACTAACCCATCAACCCAACAATAACAACACCATCACAGGACCGTACTGACCCATCAACCCAACAATACCATCACTGGACCATACTAACCCATCAACCCAACAACAACAACACTGTCACAGGACCGTACTAACCCATCAACCCAACAACACCATCACAGGACCGTACTAACCCATCAACCCCAACAACAACAACAACACCATCACAGGACCATACTAACCCATCAACCCAACAATACGATCACAGGACCATACTAACCCATCAACCGAACAACAACAACACTGTCACAGGACCGTACTAACACTTCAACCCAACAACACCATCACAGGACCATACTAACCAATCAACCCAACAACAACAACACCGTCACAGGACCGTACTAACCCATCAACCCAACAACACCATCACAGGACCATACTAACCCATCAACCCAACAACAACAACACTGTCACAGGACCGTACTAACCCATCAACCCAACAACACCATCACAGGACCGTACTAACCCATCAACCCAACAACACCGTCACAGG